ATGCAACGTAGACATGTGCAGCGAACACATATGCAACATAGACATATGCAACATCTACATATAAAACATAGACATATGCAACATCTACATATGCATCATCTACATGCAACATAGACCAACGACATAGACCAACGACACATAGCAACGACACATCTGCACATATGACTTCTACTTATTTTTGATACAAATGGAACCCCATAATTTATGACTATATGAAAACTCCTTGAAAGGAAAGACATATTTCTTAACGCTACTGTCTTTACAAAGTTTGTGTGTTGGTGAGATTCTCGACAGTTACCAAAATGGGGCATTTTGGGACTACTTTTTCCAAAGATGAAGGATTATTTTAGCTTCCTTTTAACTCTAGGTGCCCCACTTCCAGGGTTGGAAAAACACTTTTCTGTATTTGTTCATGTGCCCGCCGGTTATGAGTCATGCATGCATTAAAGGGCTTTAGATGTAGGGCACAAAGGTTCCCTACAGGGAAAGCAGGGTGACGAAGAGCAGATTGATGGGAAATGGAGGGAACAGAAAGTAATGTCTGTACAGGTGGAGCTGAGAAACAGAAAAAAAAAAGCAGCTGCAGTTCAGTGCAGGGTCTGATTTAATTCTGCTGCAGGTAATATCTGCTATATAGGTAATGAAATATCAACTCAGAAGTTTGATCAGAACTAAATTCCAATGGATAAAGCAGAATATTACAGCTCTCGTCACACAGGAAGGCAAACAGAAGAACAAATCCAAAGCTTGCAATCAGATTTAGAGTATGGTGTTTCTTCGTTAGCTTTGTTTGTTGTAGTTTCTGCCCATGCTGCCTGCTTTATTTACCGTCAGGAATTTAATAAGTCACACCAACCATAACTCACAAGAGCATAGAGGACGACACAGAAATGCTGCACTCACTGCAGAGATGGAACAAATTTAAAGGGGCAGTATTATGCAAGTACATAGTGTCATTTTATGGCACAGTCAAGTAGCTGTTACTTTCAGTTATAAAAATGTATATATCTAACATGACTTAAAAAAATTGACTTTGGAATTTATTGCCTTGAAATTGGGCCTCTGTCTCTTTAAAAAGTCCTGCTCTTTCTGAAACTCCGCCTTCAGGAAGTCACCACAACATGTCTACTCTATTAATCCTTTAGCAAAGTTTTTGCCTGCTACTCAGAAGTAGCTC